CCCAATTCAACAGGTGCGTAACACCTAGTATGTTTACTAGTGATGTTTCTGAACCTTACGAAACGTTGAAACGTTCTATTCTTAAACTCGGAGACCTAACCGATAGACGAAGGTTAGACCAACTCCTAATAACATCGACCTGCAACACGGTCTGCTACGGACATGTTGCAACGAATGAGAGAGGTTATAGGCCAAAGAACTTTCGATGATGGCCTATTTAAACAACTTTTCTTATCGAAACTTCCTTAACAACTTCAAATAGTAGGGTACCAGCACTTGTAAATCTCTTTTAACTTGGGATACTTCTAGAGAAGAGTTTCGTAAGTTGTAACTGTAGTCCGCGACATGTCGCAGATGGACTACTTACCACTTTGAAGTGTTAAAGGTAAGTCTGTTGTCGTCTGCCCAACTTTGAATTCGAGTCGATCCTCCTGAAGTGCCTGTATATCGTCTTGGTTGGTATCTCTCTCCAAAGTTCCACGTCATCAGCAAAAAGTAATAAGTCTGACGATATCTATTGTGAAAGATCATTTTTATAAATCAGGAAGAGAAGAGTCCTAGTACTGAGTCCTGGAGGACCTAACTAGGACATTCCGTAGCCTGAGATAAAGTGAAGGTAACCCTGACCTCAAAATGTCAATTTTTCAGATATGAAATGAGCCAATCAATTAGAGGTGGTCTGATACCCAATCGTCTGAGTTTATTGGTAAGGCATATATGGTTACCCCTACCAATAGCTTTTGAGAAATCCAGGTAAATGACGTCAACCTTCTCTTTGTGACCAATGGATGCTTGCCACCTGTCCACCGCAGTCAGCAGGTTGGTTATACAAGAATGACACTTCCTGAAACCATTCTGTTGAGGGGAAAAGGGGTTTGGTGATAATAAATAATCGTGTGTACCGTCGCATATCAGGGACACCATAATTTTTGACGGTATCTAGAGAAGGTCCACCGGTTAGTAGCTTGAAGGTTCTTTGCATCGACCTTCTTTGAAAATTGGTGTGATGTGAGCCAGCTTCCAAATTTCCGGTAGTTTGCCTCGGCTTAGCGAGTGTGAGAACATCACGCTAAGCGATTAATCTAGATACATGACACCAACAATCACATTGCATTATCCAAAATCTTGGTGTTGAGTTTGCATAAACTGATTGATTTCCTTGATCTCACTTGTTGCTTGTTCGTTAGGGTTATATATGTGCGGTGGTGTTCAGTGAGAAGTAGTCTAACCATTTGACTGCATTAGTTCTAATCATTTTGGTAGCTACTTATGGGTTTGTGGATCATGTTATACGAGTGAATTAATTTGTTTCAGAGTAACCAGCATTCTCGAGCCAGTAGCTGTTGCATTACCAGGTAGGGGGACGAGGTTGTTGAAATGTGAAAAATAAAACGATGACTATCGGAATGCAGAAAAGCTGAGAGAAGACTGTTGTCTGCAGGAGTAAACAAATAAATAAGTTAATTAGTTAGTGACACGGACAGTATGGGTCAGCAAAAGTGTAAGAACAAGAGGAAAATATAGATTGCGAGAAGCTTAATAGAAAAAATCAATGATGATCACCGCAATCTCTGTATCGTGCACATCAGCTTGGCCGAAATGCCATGCTCCAGCTTAGGACTCTTGTGAACTGCCATACTAATTAATTCTCCGTGGCTTGTTGAGTGTTTCCTCACGACCTGTTTCACAAGCCACAATTTGCCGTGTTTAACTCTGGTTCATGATGACCGTTTTAACGTCGATATCTGAGACATCATGAGAGTTTTCTGTGCCATACTTGTGCAATGCAGAGTCACTCTTAGTGCGGAGGGTTTGTTTTTTATCCTAGTTTAGTTTCTTCATAAGCAACACAGTTTAAGTTGAATAGTAACCATGTCGAGCACGAGACAGCATTGTCCCACTGTTGTTTATCAAAAGCTGAACTGCTCTCCTGTAGAATACCCTCTGACGCTGAAAGATCAAAGAGAATTATCAAGTCTTGAACGGCATCTATTTCACAAGTTTTAATTCAATAGGAACTACGTCGTTCATATCTCCACTCCTGGTAGTTACTTACTGTTAATTCCTACCATCATTAAGTGTGGTGTATAGAGTGAACTTGAAGCGTGTACAGATGTTTATCTGGGTTATCTCTCGTGATCACTTCTTTTCCTATTTCTGCCTTGGCTTTACTGATAGAAAGGGTACGGCTTTTTCAGTTTAAATGGAGCTTTACGTTTAAACTTCATGAGTGAGGTTGACGTATTCTTTCCAGGTTTGTACACAATAACCACGAGACTGGTTGACGTAACATGAACACGTGATGCTGCCCGGGTGCCTCTGTGTTACAGCCACAGAAGCCCACCCACCAAACAATTTAATTAGAAATCTGATTTCTCATTCTAACCAGTAACGTAAACGCGATATAATTGTCACCTTTGTATCCTCCTCCAGCCTACAGCGTTTGCAAGTATCTTGTTTTGGTGCGCTTTTTGCTTCTGTTTTCCTTGTCTTTACAGAAATGGGACTCTCTGTCAGGGTGTAGCCCTCGGTTCCTGCACAGACTATTTTTATGCATGTGTTGTGTAGACAGTACTGTATACGTTGCTCTGGGATACCTTAGTTTTATTTTAGAGCTTTTGAAGGCATGTAGCTAAATAAGGGGACTTTTACTTACTATCATCTCCTGCCATAAGGTCTTGACTTGCCATCCTTGAAATTATGGTGTAGGTAGTGGTGGGAACTTTATTATTGTGAGTGCCACTCGACAAACGAAAAAAACTAATATAAGTTGGTTTAAAAAGAATGATTATAAATTAAGCTGTCGCGGAGATGCCACTGGTTAGTTTGATTGCATTATTAAATTAGCTGATTAGTTGCGCGCGTTTTTGTTGTCAGTTAGATTTGCTTTTGTGTACTTATCACGTCAGGAGCATACTTGATACACTTTAACCTGAATTACAGCAGTTAAGGTTTGGGTTTTTCGCCAAGTCCTTTTGGTATTCCTTTTCACTCGGTTCACACGCTAGTGATTGTGTTTTGCACCTCTATCGATGTTCCCTACTTAATTCCTTCCAAAATGATAGCCTTTAGTTATAAATGTGGGCAGTTCAGTTGTTCCTACCCTGTAGAGGAAGGAATGCAATGTGATGATGTAAAATGTGGTTCCACAAGATGTGTAACTTTTTAAACCCCACCGCATACGAAGGACGCTCGATGTCTATCTCCCATTAGATTTGCATGTTTTGCTGTTCGAGTTGTGGCATTCATCCATCCATTCTGGTTGTTCGTGTTTGACTAGCTTAACTCGCTATCATCTGTAATTTTAACAGATAGTGATATGGATTATGGAAGATAACTAAAAGTAATGTGGTTGCTATTTGTGCAATTAACAGTCGACATTTCTATAGACTTTGTACTGCTCATATAATTTTACTCAGGTGTCATGGCATTCACTTGTTGTAATCTATCCCATACTGTGCGATTCAGTTGTTTTCATTTAAAAAGGTGTTCGCCGGCCATCCCCAACTCTTCTATTACGGCAAGCAAGTACGCAAGGTTAATCATTTCGAGGAGGTGCGTTGAGACAAACTGAGCAATAATAGATTCTCGAGGATACCTTAAATTGTAACTCCACCGTTAATCATGTCAGCAGGCGCCCTTACATCGTACCGGAATCTTTCCCACAAGTCTCGCGTTAGCTATAGACTGAGTGTACATATATAGCGGTTAGAACAACTAAGGAAGGACAGGTTGATCGAACATATACACCTGCAGAACAATGGTTCAGCTTTGGTTTATTATTGGTAGCAAGCCGTGTTATTGGGGTTATCTACTGGCAAATGTGTTCTGAGGCTCAAGCAGGCCCCTTAGAGATTGTTTCGTGGCAGTAAATCCTACCCTACCTTGATCCTTATCATCACCGTTTTACCGTCGTTCCTACATACTCTATCAATTATCTATTTCATCAGAAGTTTAATCCTTCGATAAATTCATCTGTTTGGTTTCAATTCTTATCCACTTTTTTCGTTAATGAAAACTTAGGTTTATTAGTTAAAGCTGAAATCCAACAACTAAGCATGTGTCAAAACAATAGGGCTCAAATATTCTTTCACTTCCTTATTTCGTATAGGCATTGTATTTCCCAATTATCCTATATCGAATTTTGAAAAGCTTTGTATGTTTGAAAAGGCAACCTACCGATCTGCTGTGAATGTTCTACGAGCTAAATAAAAACTTATTAATTACTTGTTTTGCTTCTTCTATCAATGGAAAGAGGGTTGCCTAATGGCACGAAACATTTACCTCATGTCTTTATACTCTTCCTAGTTACAAATGACCAGTTGACTACTCTTTGACGTGATAGCTGCTGATCATATAAACCGAATCTTTTCAAAGATAATATGCTTGTTATACTCAAGACAACAATCAATGAAATTTCAGAATTTCGGGTCTAGCCGTATACAGGGAGGATATAGGATTAGACCTCTTTACTCAGTCCTATCGCAAATAGGCATGTGATCTAACTTTATGTGTAGAATACTAAGGGCTGAGTTTTGAGCTGATGCGTACTTTCTTCTTTTTTTCTAACCAGACCAGAATAAACTGGTATACACAATGTGAGGATGAACAAATATACCTGTATCAAACACATCCTCACGAGCAGCTATCAACTCTTGGATCCTATTACTAGAAGTATCATCCATATCTTCACATGCACTGTTAAACTAAAGAACAGAAACTAATAGAAGCTTACTAGAAGGGGACGAACACATGAGTTGGCCTATTGTCCTCAGTACATAAATCTGAATCTGAAAACTCTAAATAAGTGTCCAATTTATCAGTATTAATACGCATGCACAAAAATTACTGAAGACTTGAAAAATTACATTGATAGTAAGAATTGAGCACAAAGAAGTTAAATGGTTCACTACGGCTCATCATAAAGACATTAGATACTGAACGTACACTGTCCTTGATGTTTACGGAGCTATCAACAAATTAACACGTTAATTGGTGGCATGGAACGTCAACAAACGGAACCAATCCCAGTGAAGAAAGTTACTGTTAAGGACTTATCACAAATACCATCTAACCACGGGTAATTATTTTTTCATTAAATAATTCCATTAGTTACCCGATTTATTATTATTATATTATGCAGAATTTTATTGTCGTTTAACGTTGAGTATTAATGTAAAGGAGATTCAAGCATATATATAATGACGCTCATTGAGTGTCTTTGAGGTCATCCCATTCTTCTGACCAAGAAGTATAATCTGAGTTTATAGGAAGTAACGTTATTCCCTGATGGCTTCGATGGTTTAGGACATGGTGATTCACCTTGTCTTCATTCAATGGATTTCGGATGTAGATAGGTTTAACTTGCTATGTTGATTTTTCTGATTCTCTGATTTGACAGTGAGTTAATAGAGTGTGTCTCTTAGATGTGTTCAATGTTAATGTGTGATATGCACGCATTTTCTTGCAAGCTTCCAACTTTAAATCCATCAGTTATTTGATTTTACTACCTAAAACTTGGAGCTGTTTTAAAGTACGGTTATAGTAAATATATCGATTCGAAGTAACCTCTTTTGTCTCGTCTACCAGAGTGAGATGTTACTGTTTCCTGTAGCATCATCCCAATACATGGAAGTAGATTCCTAATTCCCATCCCTTAACATTTTTATAAGACACTACTTTTATACCCCAGACAATCGGGATTTCCATTCGAGGCCGTATGTTTGTGGATAGTTCTTAATATACCAAGTTTTAGTATGAACTGACAATTCCAGCGTACGTTCACTATCTAAATTCTTATGTTCAATTCTTGAAAGGTTTGCTTCAAGCCCAAAGTTACGTTCTGTGTTTGCTATAAAAATTGTATGCCATTAACTCACTAAAACGGGTCTGTGATTTCCATCCCATTATGTAGGCGTAGGATTCGCCCTTTTTTCGGAACATTCACCTAGTTTCCAGCAGTTGAACAAAAATATCATGAGGTAAATCAGTCAAAATACGTAGTTGTGTAAGTAATAATCTACCTAAATAGATTATAGCTGTTTATGAGGTTCGGTAGTCAGATGATCGTGGTTCAGTTGTCTTTAGTTTCTCGTAGCACAAATAAACTATCATATGTATGCATTTAGTACTTATAATACTGAGTCAAAACAATGTTAATCCTATTTGTCCTACCTGCCTAATTTTTTCTGCTATCAATAATACTGTTACTATTTATTCTCACTGTGCTGATGTGGTGTCGGAACTTGAACTAATATGCATATATTCTTGGTTCTGCGTCGCAATTGACTGCCTGGATGTATGTCAAACATGTGTCCTCAAACTCAAATTATTTTTATATATTTTATTTTGTGAAATAATTCTTAAACCAAATTGTCTATCGCTAATCGTTTCTACTATCAATGATACAGTTCCCACTATTCTAGTATTCGTCTTGATAATTTAACGTTTCTGTTATGATGTGATCTGGTTACTGGAGCCAATGTAAGTTTGCTTTAAGTTTTTCAGTGTTTATTTCTGAAGTCTAAATCGGGTTTCAGTACATGATCGTGCATAGGATCAATAAACTCTCAGCTTTTGCGTTTATTTTTTAAATTGATCATGAACTTTGTCAGGTAACTTTATCTGCTAAGATTATTGTCCAAATTTAGTCAGTCAACAATTCAGTAGTCGAGGCTATATACTCACTTTAAGATATCTGTTTTACTTCATATCCGTTTAACTATTTCTCATTTATATTGCTATATAGTACAACTCCAGGTGGAACCTTGTTCAGTACTACTCCGGGTGGCACTCGTATAATATATGAACGCGATTTTATTCTCAACTGTCGCAACTCACCACTTGCTCGAACCCCACCATCTGACATGATATTCTTACCAGAAATAACTCCTTCCAGCTTAAATGATGACAAGACAGTCCATCCGTGTAATGGTCACAAGGTGAAAGATTCTCTAAATGTGCCTGAATCAACATCAAATGATCATAGCAGACTCAGCAAAGGTAACATATGTTGTCTACTAATGATTTTATTAATACTGGGTCTTTCAAATTTGATTGTGTAGTATTAATATCAACACTGCAGAGTGCTTTTAAAATCGTCACCCAATAAATAGTCAATCTATATCATTCATTAATACCATTTAGGTTAAGATTTATTGTGATGTAGAGATGATTTCTTGGTCTCATGCGCCTAACCCCTCTCTGTAATTTGCGTTGCACAGTACTGCCACTAGTTATCAAACCTAAATTATTGCTTAAAATCAAGTAACAACTGGTGTACTTGATTAATGGGTTACACTGCTCGGCTAAACTGTCAACAAAAAGGCCGTAGTAACCGTCCTGTTTCATATCATTAAAATATAATATTGCTTCAAAATGGAAGAGAATGAAGCAAGTAGAATTCCTTTGGAGCTAGTGATATTATTTGGTGATTGTTGTTTACTTAGGCTTTTCCTTATTCATATCAATAGGTCTTCTATCTGTAGTTTAATATTTTACTTTGTCTTCATCGATCTTGGAAATCCATGTTTAAATTGCCACAAATTAAAATGAACCAAGTGTATTTGATAAATCAAATGATTTTGGAGATGTCCCGATGACGTCTCCATTTTAGCAGAGTGTTCAACTAAAAATATCATGTTTATAATTTTGGACATCGGACAGAGAGAGTAGTGATGTTCGGAACGTTGCTAGACTTATTTATTTTCAAGTGTTCCATGCACAGTTCAAATTGCCAAAGTGCACAGAGTGATAACATTGGGAGAATAAAAACCAAAAGATTAGGGATGATTATGTTGGTAACTAGAGAGATATACAATTCAAACAAATAAACAAAACAAAGAATTCATAGACTCAAGATTTTATGGGCAAATAAAATGTGACTACACCGTGCACCATTCATCCACGACTTACGATTAACTTGCGAACGCCATCACGAAAGTTTCCACTTTCCAACAAGGTTCGAAATAAATGTAATTGGGTGTATGGAATAATGTCATTAGTTAGTTTCGCCCTCCATAGCATTTTAGTCACTTACCCAAATAGCTGGCATTGCATATCGTGACAGATCTTAAGTGACCATGAGAAACATTTGTAAACCGCTTAAATCAGTGGAATTTTGCAAACGATATGATATTTTCACTTAATAACTTTTGCCCAACCTTGCCATCATTTAACATAACTAAAAACGATAAATGTACACGTTCTGTTTTTAAAAAGCATGTTTCACACTTATAATTATTCATAATAGGTTATTTCCCAGTATATATTAATTTATTTATTTATTTGAACACATAAATGTTGGTGCAAAGGTGCACCGAATACATATGCGCCACACACGTCACTTGATTTGTGTGTGTACTGTAATACTGCTCGGTTGCCCAAACTGAAGCAGGTGGTCTTCATAGGGGGGTCACACCCGGAGCCTTCGACCTGAAGGTCTGATCTACAAGGTACTGGAGCAACGTCAGGAGATTCAGTTCCATGGTAGCCGGTCACCAAAAATTGGTCCATACACCATTTGTTCCTTCAGGATCCTGGAGCCCATGTGCACAAATTTAATTTCCTTTGTCTGTTTTCATTACTCCTTGCCTTGTTTTACAGTATAATTAACTTATCATGATTGTTTCTAATTATTTCAGGCGAAGAAGCACCATTTGAAATGGATATTTGAGGAAATAAACTTTAAGAAACTATATATATGTCGCTTATAAACATTTGTAATTCAGATATTCTCTATTTTTCCGTTTACGAGCCATTATTATTATTATTAATTTACTTTTGTTTTCAATGAACCTGAAAACAAGCAAATAAATACGTATCTCTTTTGCGCTTTGTATTATGTGTTCTTCACACGAGCGTTTGGCTTTTACTAAGCGATATTATACGTAATACGTACTCATAAGTGGTATTCTGATTAGGTTTATTTTGTTCAGTGCCCTGGTACGGCCAAGAGTGGGTATATATAACCATATGGGTAAAGTCTGCTCCCCCTCTCGAAATGCTCTCACATGGCCACGTGCATGCAACCACTACCACGGATTTCCTACTCACTACCTTCTCGTACCACGGATGTTGTTTACGAAATTGAGAAGACGAAAAGCGAATGTCTGATGGGGACTTGAACCGTGTTGGTGGATACAGAGAGTCCACCTAGGGGAGTCGGACAACCCTCAGTTCAAACCAATGGTACACATGTGCTCCAGTATCCTGTGGGAACAAATGGCATATGCACCAATCGCTAGTCACCAGCTACCATGGGACTGCATCTCCTGACGTTGCTCTACTACCTTGTGGATTAGACCTTTAGGTCAAAGGCTCCGGGAGTGGCTCCGTAAGAAAACCACGTGGTTCGGTTTGGGCACCTGGGCAGTGTCCTAACCCTCGTACAAATCTGATGGTTCATGTGGCGCATATATATTTGGTGTCTTCTTGCACCAATGTTTATGTGCTTAAATAAATAAGTTTAGTAGATTTGAATTTCGGACAGTCCTTCAAGAATTTAACAAACACATATTGACTTATATTTTAGGCGTTTTCTCAGGTAATATAATTTGTATAGATTTATAGTCAATCGATGTAGGAAATTTATATGATGCTGTCTTGTTAAAAGGAACGAATAGTGTGGAGTAAGACTAATTTTAAGACTTCAAAGCTGGCGTTCTGCTTTTGCCTAGTACATTTACATCCGATTTTCCCTTGTTTTGTTTTTGGCTATCTTACTGGTAGTAATGCGTACATCGATTCAAGTTGCCACATCCAATTGGTAAAGTGAGATAAAATTGTCAGGACAAATCCCAGAGTGGTAGAGGTAGTAACAGTATTAATGGTAATATGTTAATATTAGGTATCCAAGATATAAGTCAGGAAGTGTGACACAATGTTAAGTCACACGGATATGTAGTGGATAGTGATTCTATTCAGTGGCAGTTAAGAGACCCGACTCTCATTCACTGAGTAACAGGTTCGAACCCTCTTCAGTTTGGCCAACTGTGTAATACCAATAGAGTGTGGCACAAAGCTAACCTCATGAGCCTGTAAGTAATGAGTGAGTTAACAGTAAGGAAATACTAGCCGGTTGTCACACATGAACTATCGGTTCACGAAAGAAGTGCTCTAGTCACTGTGAACCAAGGCGATACCGGTGTCGTACTGTTAGATACTTAATTATTGTCACAAATGATTGACTTGTTCCATCACGAATATGACATGCTAATACCAATCTTTAGTTTGGCTACCCTTCGTAACCATAAATTCTAAACACGAATGTTATTTTAAGTGACTCACTATTACATTAAATTCATTCAGTTTGATTTGCCAGTGGAATGCTATCCTGATAAGACCCAAAACTGTCGGCTTGAAATAGTTGTTGAGTCTATAGGAACTAAACCTGGATCGTTATTGATAAATAATTGGTTAGTTTTTGATAAGCGAATATCACTCAGGTAGTGTACATATACGATTTAGTTATCAGTAATCTCAATGGACAATTGTCCCTCCGGATTTAATTAAGGTTGGGAAGACAAGTATGAAGATGGCTAAAATTATGGGGATTGGTGTTCTGATCTCAAGTCTTTTAAAGGTATGGCTACTAGTTGACGTGGAAATCAACCGAAGTGGTAGGTCGGAATTTAAAAGTTGGCAAAATGGTGTTTGGTTTTCATTATTCTAATTTTAAAGAAAGAACAAATCCTCTATTGTGTAAGCCAATAAGATTTCCAAGTTAACTATCTTCGTTGTTAAAGTCCATGGAGATATAATCATCCAACATCTGACTAAGAAACCCGAGATTATATGCTTTTACCTAATAGGTGCAAAATACTTTTCCAGAATTGATTTTGAGCAAGTAGAATAGAATGGTTTCCGTTCGTGTAAAGTACCCTAATAGTTGAATGTCCAACTACCCTGTCCTTGTCACCGATGAGATGCAAAAATAGTTCAAGTATGAAGATGATGAACAACAATCCTTCTTGTACTACTTTATAAAACGAAACTGTGACATTAGGATTAAAGTACCTCATATTCTACTACGGCTTTAAGTTCAGACCCTCTTTCTCATCTGCTTCGGTCTAGACTGAAAATTTATATTACTAGCTTTCACGTGGAAAGTATGACTTGGAACAGAATTGGTGGACCTATATTTAATTACTATCAAAAAATAGTTGACAGCAAAAGGTCAGTCAGCAACAACGTAGAACCTCGTACGTAAGTACATCAGTTCGAGTTGCCATACCACATTACCACAGACATACAATTGTCGATTCAAATCCCATATTGGTAGAGATAGTAAAAGCATAAGCAGTTATCAGAAAGACCAGGGTTTAAAGATAATATTCAAGGAGTATAATCCAGTGAAATAAGTTTGGAAAGGGAATAAATAAAGAACATAAGAATTCAGAAGATTAGAATTTGGGAGAACACAAAGAGTGGATGCACCTGCACTATTGCAAACGATTTCGAGTCATGTCATTCAAGGTCTATAACCACCGGTTAATATCGTCTCGCCGATCTCAACCAAGTAGTCTACACCTACCAACATGGCTCTGTCCAGCTGTCGGTGACTTCATGGGTTTGTGTCATGTTTTGATCTGGCCGCCTCCAAATTTCTCCCAACCTACTCCTACACCAGAAAACATCGCTCGTCGGGGCAGTCGGCAGTTGGGCATACGCAACACATGTCCGAGACGTCTCAACAGATGAAGTTTCACTACTTCGTCAATTCAGTTGCCATCCTTATCTAGTACACGTTTCCTAACAACTGCATTAATTACTCGGTGGTATCAGGATATACGAGCAATGCTCCGAACAAACCTATGATCGAATGCTATTAACCTACGAATATCCTCTACTCCTACCGGCCACGTTTCACAGCCATAAGGCAGGACGGAACGAACTGCTGTGCAGTAAACCTGTCTTTTGGTTGGTAGATGTGCATCTCGCCTACACCACAAATGACGCAAGTTGTCAAGAGCTAGTCGAGCCTTCTTTATCTGTACTGAGATTTCGTCACACACCAGACCACAAATGTTGATGAAATTCCCAAGATAAGAGAAGCGGTCGAAACGCCCAACTATTTCATTCCCTATCATTAGTTCAGGTGCCGATTCAACCCAATCATGGAGCAACATTTTGCATTTCGAGAATGGGTAGAATCGCATCTCGATCCTGCTTGGATTGTTGCTTAGAATGGTCAGAAGACTCTGCATTTTGTCAACGTCTTTACCAAACAGTACTATGCTATTTGCATATTCTAAGTCAAAAAGTGAATCTCTCGGTAAAAGTTTAATCCCTGGAAATTTAGATGAGGAAAGTGTCATCTCTAAAAGCACATCTACGATAAAGTTAAATAAGGATGGAGAGAATGGACAGCCCTGATGTACACCACTTGGTGTGATTAATTCTGATCACAGTTCGCCGTAAGCTCTCACTCGACCAATTGTGTTCGAGTAGAGAGCCTTTATAAGGTTAATGTACTTCTTTGATACTCCTTTCAGTGACAAACACTGCTATAGAACCTCACGGCCAGCGGAGTCAAATACTGCATTAAGGTCGAGAAATACTACTATTGTGGAGCGTCTGAAGGTGTGTCTATATTCTAGGACCTAACGTAGTGTGAATATCTGGTCTATAGAACCACGTCCAGGTCGGAAATTAGCTTGGTTTTCTCTAGTCTGTTGTTCATGAGCTTTAGTTAGGATCGTGAGTTTGATTCAAACACCAAATAACTGATATTTAGCTTATGGATGAAATCTCATTCAATATAAATCATTATAATAGTTCAATTTCACTTTTTTTTCACACAACTATAATTAACACTACTCATGTCAAATCACTCAATGTAAACGTGTAATTCTAAACGAATATGAGAATAATGAGTTGACTATAGATTGATAGATTAACCTAAAACTTTCAAATATTGTATGGTTGACCTGATTAGTTCTCGATTTCTATTTAATCACTAACCCAGTTGTTTTCAACTGATCACAAATCACGAAATAAAAACAAATTGATCTGCCTCAATTATTAAATTCACTTGGTACTGTGCGCTAGTAACTTCCCATTATTATTTAGGGCTGCAGTTGATCAGTTTCTTGTTGGCATATGTACATACTGCCTCAATATTGCCTTAATTCACAAGCTTTATAAGCAAAGATAGACGGTGGTTAGCAGTGGAATCCAGTTTGATGCGCATTTCGCCCTTTTTAGGACTGGTCAACTGGATTCACCTAAATCTATGTTCAATCTGGGACACGAACCCAGTACTGTTCGCTTCAAACGCCATCACGTTATCCACTTAGATACTGAGTCCTGCTAGCCGATTGCTTGTGTAATGAAGTGAAGTTTAAATTCACTTGTTATTGTCTACTTGAATCTCCCTATTTATGTTTAGGATTGCGGTTGATCAGTCCCTTAATTGTTGTTATCTTGATTTATCTAGTAGATTTATGGAAAATCATCATATCATTTGAGGGTTAGCTAATATGTGTACTTGTATTTGTACTTTCTTAGAACTAAGTTTTGGCCAAGTGATTGAGCAAGATTCAATAATACATTTGAAGTTAGAAGTGGAATGTACTATATTCTAGTTCCAATGTGAATGCCAACCCTGGAATGAAGGCACATCGGATGGCGAGTCTCAAATAAGACGAAATGCACATCCTGTATCCTAGCGCT